GTGGTCTAGAGGTTAAGCGTCCGAGAGTAAGACCGAAATACCTGCGTTCTGTTACCGGTTGCCAGGGACGTTGATGCGCACTTATGAGGAGTTCAATACCAGTCTTAGATTTCCATGAAGGATTTTTCGAGTTTGAAACTCATCTTCCTTGTTTTGATGGTCGTGAATGTCGAACGTTGTGGTAAATCATATATTAAAATGTATTAGGATTAGAATGACCTGTTAACTGGAAACTGTCATTCGAATACTTTTGGATAATTTAGCGAAATTCCGTTTATCTATTGAAACCACAATTCATGACGTTTCTAAAACTATGTTACAATATGACAAATTTATTGATAACATGAACGCAAACAAGATATATAATATGATCTACGATTCACTGAGCTGACGTGACAGATTGTCGTCTAGTTATCCACCAAAATAATGTTTTCTCCAATCAACCTAACCACTCGAATAGTCCATTCCTTCCACCGACAACACATCACATTGTCAAAGTTCATACCAAATACACATGTTCACTCAGTCACCAATACACACTCAACATTTGATCAATTCAGTTCCATAGAGAAATCCAACTGACTGTGTAAGAAGATCTAGTTTGTGAACCATGGTACTAATAACTCGTGTTTAATCATCCATAGATCGTCGATATGTGGGTGCAAACAATTTGCAAGAGCTGTCAGCTCAATTTCACATTGTGTCTCATCAACTCACCCACACAAGTGTTGCTTCGTTATTCAAATTCGGTGAATCGAGTCACTTGTGCAAGCCAAATCTGATCTGTTCCATGAGATTTGGAGCATCGGAATCATGTTGATTCTCACTGTATTTTGTTGCTCACAAGAAAAATCGATATGATTGTGCGGTAATCTACAATGAAGTTTCTAAACCTGAAATCGAAACAACGAACAGATGCATAACTGAACGAGATTCGAGAAACAAACTCCCATACTTCCGTATTCCCTAACTATTCCTAATCATCTCACGAAATCCATTTTATTGTTAGTGACTGGCGACATGTCTCATAGTTACAAGATCAAAACATACACAAGATTAATATCACAAGGGCTTTATGTGGATATTATAGTAAACTTAATAGTTGAAATCATGAGTCAATTGAAGCTAGACCACCATGAAAAACTTGGAAGGCTCAGTGATCTAGATGATAAGCGATCACGCGCGAGACTGATAGGTCCTGGGTGCGAATCTCACGCGCTGGGATCGTATATGCGCACTGTTGAGGAGTCCCACAGCAGGACGAAACGACCGTCCAGTGCTTCCAGCTTTTCCATGGTGATCTAGCTTCGACTGACTCATGATCTCAACTATTAAGATAACACACAAGATTATTCAATTTGATTATGGATAAACACTGTATTCATCAGTTGTTCTGATGATCATGTTGAGGTTTGTATTGAATAGTTGTTGTATCAAGTGATGATGAGTACTTGAAGAACACACATCAAGTGTTCAGTCAACGTGAAATGAGAGATGAAAGCGTATTTTGGTGATAGTTGAACACTAAAGATAACATCAATCAATATACACAAGTATGTTAATGATATAGAAATATCTTGACAGTTTACTAACTCAGCATAAAATATCTGTGAATATTTCTCGTCTACAACGCATTATTGATGAATCCGATTTATTTAGTTTTATCATTAGTCTATTGTTAAAACAAACCACAAAGTGAAAAAACAAACAATCAGTCAAGGTCACATACTTCAAGTGAAATATTCATATCACTGATCAATATAATTGTACTAAATCAATGAAAATTCTGCATTTGTAAAATGAATGATATTGATCACTCCTCAATACCGAATCGCTGTTCAACAAACTTTTCTATCATCACTGTTTATTTACTCGATAGTATTCAAAAAGCCGAACAAATACAAACAACAACCATTCTTCTTATATCCTCTTCAGTGAATTAGATTCCAAAATTCACCAAACAAAATCATCGCACGCAAATACCAATGCTATTCATTCAGTTATGAAATCAATCCATGTCATCACACACATGTTTGCCTACATCAAACAACCACTAGTCATTCGACGTAACCACTTTCTCGCCAAATATCATGAAATCTAGACCAAGTGTAGCGTCCTATCGACTATCATCAACTACCGAATTACATCTCAACACAACGCATGCTATATCAATTCACACAGGCTAGTATCCACAACACAATTCAATCGATAGAATTCGATTACAAATATGAAGGATATGAAAGACATACAAAACATTGGTCACTACCCAGTGATCAATCAAATTTTAACAGATAAAGCATTGTTTTAAAATGTGGTCATCAATCAGCATCGAGTAATGCAACATCATGTGAGTGCTTTCCAGCACAAAAAGCATTCAAATGAGAAGTACAGATCCTGTTGCAAATCTGTTCTCACAGGAAAGGAATGAAAGACGAAGAGTAATGAAAGTGCACAACGAATGCTGCACTCTCAGTCAGACCTAACCTATACAGTAAATAATTAAACGATCAGTATCATAGTAAATAGTTAATAGGAAATCTCTCCATCGTATAGTCATAAAATAAAGTGATATTACAATCTGTGACTATTCACGACTAATTTTGAAAGTCTCATCTTCACAGAGTAGATCAACAACCGAATTGAATGGGGACAATTTTGAATGAGAGATTTGCTCTTACACTGTCACTTCCGATTGATAAACACCACCGCCATACATTCTACACGAGACCAATAACCAATGTTTGCTAAACATATTGATCACGAAAATCACTGGCCGACAAGCTTCACAAATAACTAAAACACACAATAACCACAATTCAACAACAATAATAACAACAACAACAACAAAAACAGTATCATAAAAGTAAATTACCTTGAATTCTCATCATCACACTCTGATTGGTTTATCTGTACTAGGTCACACTTTGAATGTGGCTGTATTGACAGAATCTGTCTGAGATGGATGATACATATAAGTTCATTGATTGGTCGTCCACTATGTCCAATGTAATTGTGTATAACAGAAGAATAAAATAGGTCAAGTTGTTTTCTGTCAACAAATCATCGGAAGTGTGTGGATATACTTGATCGTTCTCTCCTTCACTAAACTAATTCTGTTCATGTACGTTGTCTACATTTTCCTCTCTATGTTTATTATTGTCATGGTAATTTGCGAGTCAATGTGACATGTTTAGACACTTATTGAATGATTTTATAGGACAAGTGTTGAGGTCTCAAAGTGAAATATCGGTTCAATTGGAATGCATCAATAACGGATATTTGTAATTGTAATAGATTGCTCATTTCATTAGCACATAACTACACATTGTATTTGTGTGTTTGTGGAATTTATTCTACACGTGACGAGACTGGGAAATTCATGTTGACTTGTTTAGAATAGTGCCAGTTGATTCTCATTCTTCAATGTTTTGTTTGCAGTGACCAGATAACTGCTTCTTTGTGCTCAGTATTCTACTTAGTTCGTCCAGTCATACCGATGATTTCACGCGATATTAAAAATACTCAATTTGATTGCCATAACCTCAACTGAGGTAGATGTGTTCCCACTCTGGTTATGCGTGTACAATTTGTGCTGTTTATTAATTTTCACTTTATTTGCTGTTGGCATATAACTCACAGTCATCATATTTTTTAAACCATAAATCTAATCGGTTTGTTTGCATATCCAGTTAGTGTAGAATAGACAGTTTGACCATTTTTCAATTACATAACTCTTAATCACAGAACAAACTTAAACACCATCAAAATTCATAATGAGTATGAACAACACCAAGCCTTAAACACTTTTCGGATCAGCATTTTCTTCTTTCTGGTGATAATGTCAATGTTTTCTTATTTGTTGGCGTTTTAAAACAAACATGTATTTTCTGACATTTTTTGTTAACAAAATCGAATTATACTTAAAATGGAGCTATGTAACATAATGTTTTAAGAAATCACAGGATCACGGGATATCTATGTCTTAATCACTTAACGGTGATTTTATTCATTAACACATATTTCGTATATTCACATAAGTTATAATTTTTTTAGTTGATTTCAAATCTGATATCTGTATCGACTACCTATACACTGACAATATATGTGGTTCATCGTGACTTGCATTTTTCAATTAGAATGGAGTGTAGGATGAGATTCTTGACAATCTTACTTTTTAAATCTATGGGGTTTGTCATTTGTCTTCATAAATATTCACCGTTGTGAACCGCAGTGTCCCATAGTTGATAATAGTAAACAATCTTTCCATACATATGCTTAACCAGTAACCCGAATGAAAAAAGATGAGAGTTAGAAAGGAATGGACGCTTTTCATTGATATTCCTACACATATAAATAGAATTGAAAGTCATTACTTAGCTAATCAGTGAATGGTCTAAACAGGTGTGGCGAACTAAATGCTCTATTACTCTAAAACTATTCTATAGTTGTACTTATCTTTACATACTTTCTGTTCAATATATTGTATTACTTCAGATGATCAAGTATGATCTCACTGAAAGCAAATACCTCTTAAATGGATATATGACACTTGTTTTGTGATTATCTATGTGAACTGGAACAGCTTAAAGCCCAGAACCAATTTCCCGTTTTTAACCATTGATGAATATGTCGACCCATTTCTCGAAATCAAGTGAATATTGTTTCCAACCTTTTTTGATTATCTTCCGCTCATCATTTTATGAATAAACTGTCATCTGACCTAATTTCTTCAATCCTCGTAGGTGATTCCATAGATGTATAGACATGAAATAAACATAGCCGGTATTAATATTGAAATGATTTTTCTTCATTATTCATTTGCATAAAATTCCTAGTAAACGTTCAATAAAATGTTTTGAATTCGCTTATTTGGAAAACAGTTTAGGTCATACTTAGAAATGAACCAAGGATCATATTTTTGAATCACAAGTTTATATAATAATTATTAATTATATAACATGTATTTGTACCATGGATTATTTTTTTTTTTGAATTTTAAGATGACTACTCCATATTATGTTCGACAATCTCATCTATCTTGGATACCTGGTACTGCAGGAAAAGACCAACCAACAAATGGAGTCGAAGCAGATTCTCGTATTTATGTTGCTCGAGGTGAAGTAAATGGACATGTAATACCAGGAAAATTGCCTCTTAGAATAGGCGCAGCTTTTATACCTTGTGATGGAAAAGAATATGGACTTTGTAAATTTGAAATTTTGTGTAACACAAACGTATTTCCAAATCAATCATTGTAAGCAACAACAAAATTTGTAACTCAACTGTTTCTATAAATAATATTTTAATCATAGAATTTAGCTACGAATTCAATTCGGATAGTTTACAAATCATAACTTAAGATCATAAATTTAAATAACCATCTTATCAAAACTGTTGTAACGGGTGACTGCAGGTTAGGTGCGCAGCGTATTTATCGATCGATTCAGTGATACAGAAAAGTTTAAGTTATCTCGTTGTTGATATTCGGGACTGAATTTTGGTTTGTCCTTGTTGACATATATACATCCTATTTAGATTGAATCGAAATATCCATACTGTCAATTTCTTAATGGCAATCTCAATACGAACAACAACACTGAGGGTCAAGCAGGTACATACAATTGACTAGTCTTAAATATGATGAGATGATTGTCCTTAAATTCACTACTTCCCACAATCCATCTAGATTAAATAAAATGTATATATCGAGGTGATCGGTACAGAATGGACATTTTGTAAAATAGAATGATCAATGTCCAGTCCTAAGCATCATCAACGAGAAAACTGAAACCCTTACTAGTAATCATTTAATAATCCCTTCAGTAATGCTTGTTTTCAAACTGCATATACACTTTAATATTTTCTTTGATCTACAACTCAAAAATAATCTTCTTTATTATTTATTTGGTTAACTGTTTGTCAGATACAATTGGATTCCAGCATCTGATGGTAGAGTCCCAGCTGGTGCTTTATTGGCTGGTTCAACCACTGATGGTTTACCATTATATGTTGCTCGTGCTTCCATAAACAATGAGATGTGTGTGGGAAAAGTAAACTCTGAGTATGAATGTGCACTTATGCCTTGGGGAAATGTTGAACATAAAGTAAAAGAATATGACGTTCTTTGTTTGATTGAATAAACCGGGATAAGACAGGCAAATTCCATTAACAAATTGAAAATATATTCTGTATAATAATGATTATAATAAATTGGCTATTGATTTTTTGAGTAATACTTCGTTGGGAAATAGAAGGGGTTCATTTACGTCAAAAAATTTCTCACGTTTAAAGCAAGTTATCCATTGTATAAACGAAATTACGATACATTATCGCTGTTAGCAGCTTCCTAAAACTGTAGACTTCTAACCATTATTTCAACCTTCTATCATCTCAACATTAATATAATTATTTCTTATCATTAACTATCTATATTTTATATGTGTAGGTTTAAGAGTGGATGTTGTTAAAGAGAACATCCATATCGTTGTTCATTAATCGTCCCTTATTTCTGAATAGAATTACGCTTAACACACTTTGTATTCTGTTATCATACTAATCAGATTAAAGCCATTAAATTGTAAAGGACTATTTTTGTATAGAGGTAGACCTGTAGTGAACGAGAACACAAGTGGGGACAACCAAATTTATTTTGTTATTGCGAAATGTTATTCGATAGTCTCGGAGTTTATTGTTCCTTTATTTTCATATGAATTACTCTCTGTTCCCGTTCTCTTCTATTCAGTCTTCTCAGCCTTCTGCTGCCAGGCATTCCTTTTTAGATTGGTGTTACACATTACTTATATCCATTGACATAAGTAGCACACACTACAGTACCTGTTTATTAGTGATGGAATTATTGTATGTTCTGAGAGATATGCCTGTGAAGTGACTGAACTACTTTGAGACCAAACTCTGAGAACACCTGTTTACTGAACTATTCGCGATTTATTGAGCAAACTAAAATAAAGTGAAGGAATTTCCTCTTCCGTTTATTATTCCTTTATCAATTGCATTTATACTACTTACAACATATTCAGTAAACATAGTGTTGCATTCTAAATAATAGCTTTACTTGAGCAAGTCGCCTATAATCGACATTACATTAATCTCCGCAAACCGTTTGAACCTGTACTTGAATCATGGATCCAGAAATGCAGCTTAAGATAAATATTAGGTCTACTGAAACAGTTACAGTCAACAAAGTGAAATTTGTATGCGAGAAATAATGGGACAAACCGGAGTGAATTGTTGTTGATTAATCTATGATCCTCACTTCCATGTTTAATTGATTATTTTTCACTTGATAAGTTGAATGTGATAAGTATCAACGACAATGATACTTTTCTAATCTATGTACCGTTAATTACATATGTAAGTATATTGATATATTATTTTAAGTCAAATTTTTAGAAGTGAATTAAATTCTTATCTTTTACTTTTATCCTTTCTCTTGCGTCGAATAGTATTCCATTAGTAGGTGGTTTACTGAGTATATGAATTGAGTCTCATGTGTAATACAAGGGGGAACTCTGCGGTTCATACAGTCTATATTATTTAGTAGCAATATCAACTGAAAGGGAAAAATAAATCTCAATCACTAATCAGAAACCAATCTGATATAGTCACATCTACAAACTTCAGTCGCTTATCTATAGGATTTCGAAGGTAGACATAGTAACTGATATAAAGCATAGACATATATACGACTTTCCCTCTGATCCAGACACGTATATATAGGTGCATAACTAACTATGCTCAGTAACGTATATCACTCACCATTTGACCATGAGACAGGCATATAAGTAAGTAAGCAAATTGTTTCATAGAATCCACGTCAACTTACAGACCTGGTCAGCTTGATATTGTTGGGGTGATCCAGAAAATTGCTTACAAAAGACAAGCAAACATCAGGAAACACTAAGAAGCGTTTCGTCTAATCAGCGTTCACTTGGAGTCTTGGCCAGAAATATCAAGGAAGCGAAACGTCACATGTAGATGCCCTGATTGGTTGGCTGCTACACTGTTACTGTATTTAGTAGCATTCCATAATCTTCTAGCAACCCAAGGACATTTAAAATATTATAAAAACCCTGTATTTTCTGTATTAAAATGAACCTTGGAGTAAACCACTTCTCGTATATTTTGAGTCTTCTCTCTCGTGTTCAGGTCGCTGCATAGTTCTAGCTTGGGGGTTACAAAATAGCTTAGGAGACGAATATAGCGTTTAATCCGGCAAGACATAAGATATAAAGAGAAATGTTACATGTAAAATACAGAGATATAAGGTTAAATCTGTTGTAACGTCAGATGCTGCTGATTGGAGGTTAGCGAATTATCGATCGATCCAAAGACGCGTAAGACACGTAAGAACGACCTAGGGCTCTGATTGGTCCCGCTCCCCTGTCTAGCCTAGCCAGCTGAGTCTTGAACGCAAGTTACAGCCTCTGAGATATGAATCATTACATTTCGGACATACTCTGTTTATATAGCAATCAAACAGACCACATCGTACAATAAAATAGAAAATAACATTTGTACAATATTTGACATGTGAAATAAATACTGACCAATAGGGAATGTCCATTTAAAGTCCAAGGACACCATCAGACTTAACAGGATAATTATTGGGATATTTTTCTGAATATCCCAACAAAATCGTTTGGAAAGTTGTGATACAAAAATTGTTTTCAGAAGAAACTTCTCACGAAGATAATAATAATATAAGACAGCAGTTAGAACCAAATTATTTTTATTAGACATTCTGCTGAGGTATCAATAGTGTATCGAGGGTGCATTTCCAGTATTATTATAGAGCAATCAATTCATTGATTAAAAAAAGGAAACGGGAACAGAGAAATAACAGCAAAAATTACAATATTAGCTCTGGTGATATATGAACACAGGCACATGATATTCTCATACTCGGCCAGTCTATTAGATGTTAAAGAATACAAAAATAACGAATCGAGCAGAATAGCATCAATCTATTTTATTTCGTTCGTTTCTTATCAACTGCTATAATATTTTAAAATCAAAGTTATCGTAAATTCTGCATATTTATAGGAGTAAAATTGAGGTAGTAATTCGAATAAATGTGATGAGATTAAAGACATAAAGAGTGGTGTAAATTAATATAATCTGTAAGAGAAGATTCCGGATCATCAGACAAAGTAATAAGAGATCATGGGGCTAAAACAGTTAACTGATTATGTAATGATGTAGTTGAACGTAAATCTATGGCAATCAAGAAAAATATGACTTGAGATTAATCAGTTTAAAATGAAACTGCGAATTTGGAAAAGCGATACAATTAAAATAAGAGTGGAAAAATCCCAAGAATGATGTAATAAATTGAAGATAAAGACACCATGACAAGGTAATATATGCAACTATTTGTATATGGATATATAAGTCCATCTTGAGGCATTTGATGGCGACTGGATAGGAAGAATTTATGAAAATTTCTTCGACACTATGGTGTGCCTGAGAAAATCGTCAACACTATACGGAATTCACACGACGGACTACATTGGAAAGTCGTGCATGAAGGACAGCTGACAGACGCATCCCAAATGACGATTGGTGTCAGACAAGGCTGCTTACTCCCTCTTTCTCTTTCCTATGGTGGTCGACTGGATTATGAAGACCTCGACATCTGTGAGGAAGCATGGAACAAATGACCTAACCCTTGTATCTCATACGCATCGACAAATTCATGCCTGGACAAATAGTGAAGCAGCAGTCTCTACAACAATAGGCCTCAACATGCACAAGGGAAAAAGCAAGATCCTCAAATACAACACGGAGAATACCAACGCAATCACACTTGATGGAGAAGCTCTGGAAGAGATAGAAACTTTCACCTACCCGGTCAGCTGCATCATCGACAAACAAGGAGGCTGTGATGTAGACGTAAAGGCAAGAATGTGTAAGGCAAGGGCTCCATTCCTACAGTTGAAGAACACGTGTAACTCAAAATAACTGTCAACCAGTATCAGAGTGAGAATCTTCAATACGAATGTGAAAATAGTCCTACTGTACGAAGGTGAAGAGTGGAGAACTACCACAACTATCATCAAAAACGTCCAAGTATTTCTAAACAATTGCCTACATAAGTTACTGAATGTCCGTTGATCGGACACCTTTAGCCATAGACTACTGTGGGAGAGAACAGACCAGCTTCAAGTAGGGGAGGAAATTAGGAAAAGACGTTGAAAGTGAATGGGACAAACATTGAGGAAATCGCCACAGTGCATCACGAAGCAAGCGCTAAGTTGGAATTCAGAGTGGAAGAGAAAAAGAGAAAGGCCAAATAACACACTCTACCGAGAATCGGAAGCAGACATGAAAAGGATGAACAGCAACTGAAAAGAAGTGGAAAGATTGCCCAGGATAGAGTTGGATGGAGAAAACTGACGAGTGCCCTATGCTCCTTCATAGGGGGATAACAGGCGTAAGAAAGTAATTAAGGCTTCTGTAAATTCGAGGAGAATGGAATTTGACTGTTTTTTTGTTGATCCTGAAAGATTTCAGTATAGCAACGCGATGACACGGAAATGTTTCAAAGTAGCATTTTCTCGCATTGACCTGAGGTTGCTTGGGGTATGTTTTTGAAATCAGATATAGGCCCTGCCTTCTGTTCTACTAATGTAACTGCTTTGGGAGCCTGTAGTGTTTGAACGAACTAATGATTCTATTGTACTTGTTGAATGCTTGATTTCGAAATCCAAATACAGCACATTCGTTCGTGCTTATCTAGTACTTCTTAATCCAATTGCGTTATTGCTGTGATTCATAATTTGTACTATAATTCAAATAATCCTAATCATCATAGAGCCACATGTAAATCTGTATACACAGTTGGTAGTAACATGAAAGGAGTACCTATCGATCTTTTATTTTAATAAAAGACCTATTGTTTTATGCAAGATAATCAACTCGCTGCAGGACATGTTCTATGCAGTGCTATTTATTGTCACTGCAACATCATCACCCTTGAATTCAAGATGAATAAAAATAGATTTTTTATCTAAATCGATCTTTCGAAGCATTTTGTCTTAATATTTCCCATATTTCTCAATAAATTTCTTTGCATATCCATTGTTCATTAGGGATTCTTTATCGTTTATTAATTCTGCTTCTAGTGTATCGCAGTACCAATGTGAACAGAGAAATAAAGAAGCCGTGACGAACAACGAAAGCTGTTTTTGGGAACATTATTTCACTTAA